TTCCCACCGAGCATGAACAGAATAGAGGCGCCCTATACTAGACATATATATGGTCTACCTATATATATGGGTGAACGTTTCATGTCTGGACTGACCCACAGCCATGACCTACAGGGTGGCTGGGTGTCGATATGGTGAAAACACCGGCGACACCGTATGGTCTACCTACCGGTTGAAAAAGAACCGACCGGGCTCCGGGTGCCATGACCCACAGCCACATCATGGGAGGTCTCTTTTAGATACGGTGAAGCCAGGAGGGACCTCCAAGCGGGGAAAACTGGTTTGGTGAATCAGCAGTGCTGGCAGGATAGGGGATGCTTTCGCAGAAGGCGACGTGCCAAATCTGACTATCAGACCATATCAGACCTATAGGCCAGACAAGCTTTTGTCCTTTAAAATATCAAGGATCTGGGGTGACGTATCTCTCCCAGCTACTGCGCTCAACCCCCGCAACACAGCGCATGGCGCCGTCATCGTCGACTGAAGGCCGAAGGCAAAACCACCATGCAAATTCCTGCAGCGGCTGCTCAAGGAGTCCCTTGGAAGGAGTTTAGACCGCTCGAAAAAGGAAACGCTGAGGCTGGATAGCCGCGAACAAGATATTAGATGGTATAAACGTAAAATATTTGACAAGTGTGCAGACCTCTTAGCACATTCCTTGTGAACAAAAAGGTTTCAGACGTATCCGAAAAATGCCCAATGGTTTTGCCCAATTGACACCCCTGGTGGTCCCTAAACAGGGTTTCCAAACCGCTAGAACCACGATATAGGGCATCTCCAAGGTATGTTCATTTGATACCCATTAGCTTTGAGGTATACCCCATGGGTACCCCCAGGTTTCCTGGGGTTTTGACCCCTGACACGGAATGGCACGCAAGCTGCTAGCATCTCCAAGCGCAATTCGACGAGAAAGTCAAAAAGCATAGTGGTCCAAATATGCTTCAAAGACCGTCAAAGAACACGCTTTCTAAGGGGTTCAGAATTGTTTACCCGGCTGGCATAAGTCCGCACATGCGAAGCAGCGTCGTGTTCCTTGATTCAACGACCAGTTTTCTCATGTTTCTTCCGGGCAAACCTACCATTGGCGTTTCTACCAGCCTGGGCCACCATTGTGCACCTTGCTACACACCTGAGTTCTTTGAGCTGTAAAGCAGACATGCATCCCCCACCTATGCAGACATGGTCGAATCACGTTGATCTACATGGCACCACGGCGCCGATGTCTCGACGCGGTCCTTCCCGGTCGACGTTCCGCGTCGTTCGTTCTGCGGGATGCGAGGTCGGGTGCCGAAGGATTGTTGCGCTAGGCCGGGCGACGACCGGCGTGCGTGGGGCGAGCGCGCGCGTGGGCGATCGGCGCAGGGTCTGGGGCGAAGACGGTCGGAAGGTCCAACTGTTCACCTGCGGAAGACGCGTGGCATCCCCTTTGCACCGTGACCACGTCAGCAAGTAGCAAAATTCTCATCTTGGTTGGTTGATAGGAGAATAGACGAGAAGCAAGAGGGGTGGCGGGATGTGTAGATAGTTATATAGATAACTATCTATTTGTGTACATTGCTTCACAACAGCGAGCATCCATGGAATCCAAGAGAAGACATCGCTGCCGGAATATATGGTCGGTAGAGTGTATCCAAAGCAGTTTGGATTGGATGTAACTGTATGATAAATATATATATATACTGTTATAGTGTAAGTAACGTATATAACACCACCACAGTAAACGCTATGCCCAGACACTATGGAACTACAAAGAGTAGCAATGATGATGCAAGAAGTGCCAGTCTATGTTCAACACATTTTTTGCACCATCAACATATGCAGATTAAAGCGATCACCAGCTGTGCATTGTGTTTATCAGCAGCTAAGGCTTATTGAGGGCGTTTGTGAGGTGTCACCCGGTCGCACCTTCGATACTTTGCTTGGATTCTTTTTTGGGGGGAACTCCAGAAATTACTGCATGACTGCTATTGGCACAGCAGATATTCCTTTTGGCGCGGATCGAGTTGATCTACAGTATATGATTTTTTTTTACAAAAACGATCAATAAATATCAACAAGTGTTTGTTTTTTCCTATCACTGCTGCCGCGGTCGTTTCGAATCGCCGCTTGGCACCGTTTTTCCAACGGCGATCCGACGGGAAGGCCAAGAACTCGGGCTCCGCGGCTCCAGTGAAACACCCAGCGCCGCAAGCAGCTGCCTGAAGCCAGTCGATTGCAACGACTTGGCGATAAAGAGACCTTATAACTTGTTGGGAAGTGATTCGTGCCTGTACTTCTGGTGTATTTCTTAAGGTGTCCCGGTGTATTTTGTGGAGATAGGATTTGCCAGGTCGGGACAGTAAATGAACCTTCACAAGGTGAGGGGAACACGCGTTCATGACTCAACGACCTCAGCATATGCTAATGACCTCAATTTTGATGGCGGCAAATTGCGTCATATTTGTGGGTGATGTGCTTTTCTCCTCAAGGCAGAACTGAAGGTGTCAGACTAAAACTACCTTTAAAACCGGATTCCTAGATGTTTCAACAAGAGACTTCACAAGCGAATTGGATCCAAAGCCTCGGAACGCCCTGCAAGTTCGATGATTATTTTGTTGGATTTGGCTGCCTGTTGTTGGTCGGTAGGACAAGCCTAGCTCTTTGAACATATTTGCTTTTTTTGAACTCCCCAAATAGAAATCTTATGAACTCATGACCAATACACTTGAAGGAAGCTCACAACCTGCCGATCTGTCGTAGTCGACAAAGTACCCGGTCGACAAAATACACTTGAGGTGGACTCACGGTTGACGAAGCTTCGCCGTGGCTTCCTGCGACGCTGCGGCCAGGACAAGCTTTTGCACGACTGGTCGGTGGGTGGAAGGGCCAAGCAGTTGGTCAAGACAAAACATATCAAAACCCTAAGAAGTGATATGTGTATATATACCCCCTAATCTCGACGTAGGATTAATAAACGGGTCAACAAGGTCTGAGATTGGAGGTATCTGAGGACCACATCCCTTTAATAAAGATGATGACCTGATGATGGATGATGGTTGATATGATTCTGTGTGAACACTGAGGCCTCTGAGAGGGGTACCCCTTTGTGAGACAGAAAACGTTAAGATTTTGATATAGTTTTAATGAGGGAAAATGAACGAATTTTGCTAGAGAGATTTTTGGGGAACAGAAGATATTGGATACTAGCCAAAAAGATCGTAAATAAGAAAGAAATATTAAAGTAAACTATATATTTGTCATTTTTCTGGGACAGCTGGGATTGATTAATAGGGGGAGGTTTCTTGTAGAGAAAAGAAATATTAGGGTGATGCCAAGGGGAAAATTTAGGTTCTAAAATTAAAATTAGTTTAGTATTGGGGGGGGTCGAGCTGGGATTGATTAATAGGGGTGGTTACTGAATCCTATGTCAACATTACAAGACACTTGGCAAACCATTCCAACCTTACGGTTTTGGGAATTTGAACTAGGACTTCTGAAAAGGCAATCCAAGATCAAACGCAGCATAGTCAGTCCTTGTTTCGGTAAATGACTATGGCCTTAGCATGAAAACTGGAGGAAACAGCATCTCTTTTTCAGAAAGGGCTGATTTATGCTGCATTTTTATGCTGATTTCATTAAATCTAAACATCACACACTCCTTTTCGCTCCCTTTCTCCCTTTTCAAGCACAATCCCGTCAACGACACGACCCCAACACAATGCCATTTGTGCAGCAGAACGGCCTGAGCACGGTGCAGCAGAACGTGGTGCTCGCTTGAGCACCGATCGTTTTCAAAGACCGGGGGAAGACATTCGTTGATCCTGGCAATTCATGTGGATGGCTTCAAAACATATAGCTTGACCCACAGGTTCTGGTCTAATCACTTGTCCCTTTACCAGAGGTTTTGGAATTTGAAGGTTACCCTAGATATGTATATATTATACATTCTACTACGTACATTATTGTATATACTATTATTGATTAAGCCTTAGCCTTATTCGTTAGGTCATGGGAGTCGCGACGCTGTGAGAGACTCCACGTGATGAATCCCACCGAGAACCCCACCGAGCAGAATCGCACGCTTTGAATCGGGTCTGAAAGACATCCCGCACATCCCACTGCAAAGCAGCTGTTTGTGGGGGATCAAGAAGGCCCTGGCTGTGCGTGAGGAAAAGAGTGGCTTAAGTAGGGTTTCACAGGGGGGTTCACAGGTCTGTGAAGATTTACTGTATCGGATTTGAATAATGTTCTGGTCTGCAAACAAATCATGTTGATTTACTCTATTACTGTAGTAGGATTTCCTGGAAGCCAACCTCGTATTTCGCCATATTTCTCAGGCTCAAACTGACCAAGTTATAGATTTGCTGACGTCCCAGTGTATACATGTGTATATTATATATACGTATATAGCTTGAGCGGTACATGGAATGTGGGATCAGTAGGTGATCTCTTAGTCACTGGGCTTTACTTGTTTGGGGGTCGGGTCAGGATCATGCTGAGGTACAGGTTTGAGGGGTCCGATATAGCGTTTGGACCAAACAAAAGCGGTTGACTAGTATGATCATCAAGTCTACTTAATATGTTTTAATGACACTACGCAATTCGTAGGACCTGATGGATGGCGGGGTGATCACCAAAGCCAACCCAAGTCAAATCTGGTGCACTATTCCCACAAACCTGGAGCTGCCGGTGCGAGAGGGATTGGCGAAGTGTGATACGCTCAGATAGGATGGATATGCGTGTCGTACCTTGTGATGGAGTGCGCATGTAGATGGCTTCATTGAACACGCTTCATTGGACTGCATTGTTCTGTGTGTGTTTTGTTTTCAAGCCGTTGCTCAGTCGGGGAGTAGCTGTCATCAGATAGGATGTTCATGATTTATTTCAGGGGCAAGTGAAGACTTGTTTTGCAGGTCACCACGAAGCCACGTAGCTCCACGTCGCTCCACGTCGGGTCGCCCCCGTACGCCTCGAAAGCCCCGCCTCGTCCGATCTCCCGTCGCGGCCGAACACTCCCCGAGGCCAGCTTCGACCACGTGGAGCAATGGCTCGGCCAGGTGCAGCAACACCACGAGTGCCTCGGCTCAACCGCTGGTCTGGAAGGTTGAGCGGAGGGGCTCGACGGAGTGAATAGTGGGAGTGGTGAAACTAGATGAACAGACGAACGACATGGTCAACTGGTTTGGGATCTCCTTTGGGAGCCTCGTGAGGCCGTGGTCAGCCGATGACTTGGATGGGTTTTCGGGGTCAGCCGACGAAGTTGGCTCTTCAGGTTCTTCTGTTTAGTCATCTCAGGGATGAATGATGCATGTATATAGGAAGCAACACTGGAAAATTGTGATTGCCAATGCTTGACATATACTGACCACATGTGGCGCTGACACGCATATAAATCGTGGAGCTTCCCGCCTTTGTCCATTGGAAGCACCAAAAATTGCGGGGGTATTTCGAGTGGAAACCTCCTGGAAGGCCCTGGTAGTGGCCCTGGTATATTGCTGTTCCCAAGTTCTTTACTGGTGTGCAGCGATGGGCTGACCTGCCAGTCACCAGACCTCACTGACACTCCAGAGAAACACATAATTAAATAAGGTAAATGGCATGGCATTTGGAATAGTAGTTATTGAACAGCCTTAAATCATCTTAAATTTCAGTCTCCTTCAAAGGGGGTACAAGTCTGCACGGGGGCATGGATCATCGGACAACCTGAATCGACCAAACATCCGGTATCGAAGAACTCCATTTGCATGCAGAGAAGTATCCTAAGCTTCCAACAGAGGAGACTATCCCAGTTGCGTACCCCAGGTGACGGGTCCTATTGACGGTCACTTCACCTCTCTTGCTTTAGATGTGAACACCAAAAATGCCTTTTCTTCTTCTTCTCCTCCAGGAGCTACGTTCGTAGCGTTCGATCGCTACCAATTCGTAGCGATGCCCTTGTTACTACTTGTATAGTAATATAGTAGCAACGCCAGGAGCATGGTGTCACTTCCTATTATTTTTGTTCTCTGACCATCGCATGGTGCCACTTCCGCCATGGACATGAACTCCCCGACGCAAGCGACGGAGCGACGGACCGAGCGACGCAAGCGACTCCACTCGACTCAGGTGTGGCCCCACGACGATCAAGATCTTGGCACCGTTGGACCTGTTTGAAGCGTCCGAGCATGGCGGTGGGTGGACCAGGATGGACCAAAACACATATCACCTCGTAGTGTAGTTGTTTGGCTTTTCAGGGTCATTGACTATTTGTTTGTTTGTGTTTCTTTTAATGGAGTCAAAAGTGACGTCATCCAACACACATCACGGGTTGAGACGAACTAGAATCACGGCGGGGTTGCACACGGCTCGGATGAGGAGTAGCATTTGTTTGACCTGTCCGTTTTGTTGGTCGACTCGTTAGGAATCCTGTTGTTTCTGAGACGGTGTCTTGCTGTTTGAGACGGTGTCTTATCCCTGCAACTAAAGTCCAGAATTCAACAAAGAGAAAAACAAAACAAATAGTCAAACTGATGGGTTTCAATCTATGGAGTTCTTGCTATTTTAGGTGCTTAGTTTTGATATCAGAAGTTGGCCGAACAAGTTATATTGTCAATGTCAACGTTGGATTTGACTTTGGGTCGAATCTAGCACACATGCGCCCCCCCCCCGGTGAGAGCTCGATCTGCGCACCATGTTCTGGTGGAATCATGTCTCTAAAATGACAACAGATGGACCAAGGAAGTGACCAAGGTATATTGAGACTGCGGACTCCAGAACTGGCTCAGCGGCCTCACTCGACTCGATTCACGGGGGCGCCTCTTAGTCCTTGGGGTGTTGCGGCCCACGCCCCGGAGGTGTCGCCGGCCAGGTCGGCCATTTTTTTTGGTGCGGTTTGCTCCGGCTCTGGTTGGTCCAATAGCTTGCCTGGCTCTGCCACAGCACTCCATGCTGCGAACGGTGGGTTCTTCGTTGGTGGCTGGGTCGTTGTCCAACCAGCCCAGTCGGACCCAATAAACCCAGGTCCTAGAGATCTCATTCAGACCTTTTGACCAGCTCCTTGACCTGGTCTGGTACTTCTCCCCAAAACTGAAACTGAATCGCAACTGGTCTTTTCGGACCTCTCATGGCCTCGCAACCAGGAGGGACGCAGGGAGAAGCCGGAGATTGACCATCCATGAGAAAATTTAGTGTCAAACATCTTACATATTTCTGGTGCTCCACACAGAAAACCGGTTCGTAAAGGCAAATACCAACCAGATCTACTTGAAAACAGCCAACTGGAGCAGCTAGCTGCTAGCGATTGGTAGGTCAAGAGTTACTTTTTGACTAACTAAGATTTAGTTGTTGAATTGTACTCGTACTATATAAGAACTAACTAACTATAATTGGTAGGTCATAATTGGAGTTATTCATGTCTCATGATTGCTGTACAAGAATTCTGGAACCGCCTATTCCCGATGGCTGGTTCCCTTGACCGAGCCATGCCCGGCACCGCTGGGCCGTGACGAGCGCACGACCGTGCTGTGTCGATGCGAAGGGGGTCATGCGGCACTGCAGCAGCTTTGTGGCTGACCCGCAGAAGGGATGGTTGTGTAATAGAGAGCTCCATGTGGAACCCCATGTTGGGTTTCAGCATAGGTAAGGCAGAAATTGTCGAAAAGGTAGTATAGGAAAAGCATTATCTTTTTCTGGTGGGGATGTGAGAGCTTTTGGAGCCAAACAATGACAACCGTCTCCTGTTCTGAACCTTTCTTGATCCTTGGTCCTTGGTTCATATTGCTTCGTCCAAACAAACCAAACATCACTGGTTCACCTACACATTGAGGTCGCCCTGGCACTTCACCATCCCTCACCAAAAATCAATCCCGCGGCATTCTCGTCAGGTTCTTGACTTCTCTGACTCTTCAGGGATGCGAGGGTGGGCGATGGGTGATGAAAGGCTCCTTCGTGGCGCTGCTCATCGGCATGTCACTTGGTGAGAGAGACGGGCGAGACCTGCGTGGTGGAGATCTTATGTTCACCGACCTGTTTGTTGAGACCGGATTGGAAGACACTGGAATCACCAAATGTTTTTGTTGAGGTAAAAAACAAGATGGAACCCACGAACCCGAATGCAAACACGATCGAAAAACTAATATGTCCAAAGGACACTCTTGTAGGACACTCTTGCGGGACACTCTGTAGGACAATCTTGTGGGCCACTCTTGTAGGAAACTCTTGTGGGACACTCTTGTAGGACACTCTTGTGGGACACTCTTATAGGACACTCTTGTGGGACACTCTTGTGGGACACTTTTGTGGGACACTCTTGTAGGACACTCTTGTGGGACACTCTTGTGAGACACTCTTGTAGAACACTCTTGTGGGACACTCTTGTAGGACACTCTTATAGGACACTCTGGACACTCTTGTAGGACACTCTTGTGGGACACTCTTGTAGGACACTCTTGTAGGACACTCTTGTCGGAAACTCTTGTGGGACACTCTTGTGGGACACTCTTGTGGGACACTCTTATAGGACACTCTTGTGGGACACTCTTGTGGGACACTCTTGTAGGACACTCTTGTGGGCCACTCTTGTAGGAAACTCTTGTGGGACACTCTTGTAGGACACTCTTATAGGACACTCTGGACACTCTTGTAGGACACTCCTGTACGACACTCTTGTAGGACACTCTTGTGGGACACTCTTGTGGGACACTTTTGTGGGACACTCTTGTGGGACACTCTTCTAGGACACTCTTGTGGGACACTCTTGTAGGACACTCTTGTGGGATACTCCTGTAGGACACTCTTGTGGGGCACTCTTATAGGACACTCTTGTGGGACACTCTTGTGGG